ACTCAGCCATTAAAAAGAATTCATTTGAATCAGTTCTAATGAGATGGATGAAACTGGAGCCCATTATACAGAGTGAAGTAAGCCAGAAAGATAAAGACCAATACAGTATACTAACACATATATATGGAATTTAAAAAGATGGTAACAATAACCCTACATGCAAAACAGAAAAAGAAACACAGATGTACAGAACAGACTTTTTCTGTGGGAGAAGGCGAGGGTGGGATGTTCTGAGAGAATAGCATTGAAAAAAGTATACTATCAAGGATGAAATAGAGAGAAGTGCTCAGGACTGATGCACTGGGAAGACCCAGAGGGATGGGATGGAGAGGGAGGTGGGAAGGGGGATCAGGAAGGGGAACACATGTAAATCCATGGCTGATTCATGTCAGTGTGTGGCAAAAACCACTACAATATTGTAAAGTAATTAGCCTCCAACTAATAAAAATAAATGGAAAAAAAATACTCTTTAGAAATGATTAAAATGATAAATTTTATATTATATATGGTTAACCACAATAAGGTATATACAGGTCTTTTTTTATTTAGGAAGGGGTTGTGAAAAGTGTCTGACTCTTTGTGATGTCCCAATAAATGGGTCAATAAATGGATCTGCAAAGAGATCAAACCAGTCAATCCTAAAGGAAATCAATCCTGAATATTCATTGGAAGGACTGATGCTGAAGCTGAAGCTCCAATAGTTTGGCCACCTGATGCGAACAGCTGACTCATTAGAAAAGACCCTAATGCTGGGAAAGACTGAAGACAGAAGGGAGAAGGGGATGGCAGAGGATGAGTTGGTTGGAGAGCACTACTGACTCAATGGAATTGAACTGAGCAAACTCCAGGAGTTGGTGAAGGACAGGGAAGTTTGGCATACTGCAGTCCATAGGGTCGAAAAGAGCCGGACACGACTGAGCAACTGAACAGAAACTATAAATGGATAAACCCATCGCGGGTTGAAAATATTTTAAGTCAAAAATATCCTTAATATACCTAACCTGCCAAACATCAGAGCTTAGCCTAGCGCACACCTTTAAAGTGCTCAAAACACATACATTAGCATACATTAGCCTGCAGTGGGACATGGTCATCTAAAACAAAGCCAACTTTACAATAAAGTGTTGAGTAGCTTATGCATACTTATTATGCACATTTATTGCATACTGTACTGAAAGTTAAAAACAGAATGGTGGTTACATGTGTGGATTGTTTCCTCTTGGGATCATGTGGTTGATGGGAGCTGTGGCTCACTGCTGTTGCCAAGCATTATAAGTATCAGACTGTATATCACTAGCCTGGGAAAAGTTCAAAATTCAAAATTCGAAGTACAGTTTCTACTGAATAGGTATTGCTTTCACAATATTGTAAAGTTAAAAAATCATAAGTTGAATCACTGTAAACCAGGGACCATGGGTATATGCTTTTTACTCCAAAATCCTATTCCTAGCAATTAACTTGGAGGATGGGTAATGCAGAAGGGTGAAATAAGTATGTACTAGAATCCATCAACTTCAGGATCTATGAATAAAGATCTAATTATATAAATAAAGCCTGATATGACAATATACAAAAGAAACTATTATGCAGGCATTAAATTGTACAGAGTAGACTTTATACAAAAAATATCTCCGTTAACACTATTGCTGAATTAAAAAAAAAAAAGTTAAAAAATGTGTGTGCAGAATGATCCCATTGATGTAAAAATTCTAAAGTCTAATTATATATGAAAAATATGTAAGATATTTTCCAAAATGTTAATAGTGGTTATTCTCTAAATGGAGGGTTTGAGATGATTTTAAGATTATCCTCTTCACAAATTTCTGTACTAGTTTATTTTCTAACAAAAAATATGTCTAACCAAAATAACATGCTGTTATAAACTCATGTTTATCACTTTTTTCACATTAATTAAGGAGGGTTAGGCCCTTGATACTTTCATAATAGATGTTTTCTGCAATTCCATTTCCATAGCAACAACATACTTGTGAGAGAATCAGATATAGTTTTAAAAGAGATACATACCTCAGATAGTGGAGTTGCCATTTCATTACTCAAAAACAAAGATACTATTTCATTGCAACAGACAATAATCATGTTCTAGAAATAAAAGACAACACAGTGAGGTTGATCTTATTGGTAAAATACTGGGTATTTTAGTTACAAATTATTTGTTTCACTTGTCTTTTGCTACATCATTCTCTAACCCTAATTCCCAGGATGAAATTTAGAGGTATTCAGAGGTAACAATCTTTAAAGTAATTACAGTTACTTGAAAAGATACAGAATAGCCACAAAATATAAGATTTAATGATGAATAATACTTTATTTTAGGATTTTTTTCCCCTGCAAATTCACCATTAAAATTCACATGTTACAGAATAACAGGTAAAGGAATTTATACCAAAATAAGATTTTGGAAGACCACTTTTCTTCTGAGAAGACAGCCGTGGAATAAAGAGGGTTGGATCTCAGAAAGGGTTTAAGAAAAGCTGAACAGTTGGGAATTGACAAAAAAAACAAACTGGAAAGAGTAAACGAAGAGGAAGAGAGTGATGGCATGTAGGATCTCAGCAGTGGCACGTGAACTCTGAGCTGTGAAGTCCCAGGTGCTGCAACTAAGACCTGGCAGGGACAAATAAATGAGTATTTTTAAAAAGAAGAAGAGTCAGTATCATCCTCAGTCCACTGTTGAGGACACTGCTGTGGCCCCTACTGTATGGCCACAGCTGTGTTTCTGGGTGGACACTGGACCCAAGAGAGATCAACCTGTAGGCAGGGTTGATTGAACCCATCAGATTCTCCACCATTGGGATTTTACATAAGGAAAGACGACAGACGAGAGCTGTCAGCAGTGCTGGCTGCATGAGCTGAGGTCCCAGTAGGAGCAGGAGAAAGCAGCCCCAGGACCAGATGTGTAAGGAGGAGGAGGAGGAAACAGATCAAGGAGAACTTACGCCCCCTGTGGGGCCGTGTGCACTCTTGGCTCCTGACTCTCCAAGTTTCATTTTCTGTGTTTGGTCCCTGGTCCTTGGTTATGCAAGAGCTTACTGACCATGCCCTACCAAACACTGCCTCCTTACCAAACCTACTTCATTTGGGTTAGTGTAAGTACTGATAGTTTTTCTTTACTTACAACTAAAGGATTCATGATCATAAGACTGTCAGAAATAAACTATGCTTATCTCACAGTGTTGCTCACATCTTTCAACAGCTTGCTTTTATTTCAGTACTATTAGTACATACATGTGCTAACATCCAGAAATATGAAAATGATCAAAGTGCATTCATTTTTAAATTAGCGCTCATCAAGGCTGGCTAAAAGCCTTAAGATAAAGAAACAACTGAACTCATATTAAAGTTTTAACAAATGCATAAACATAGAAAAGATCAAAATTTGGAGTTCCAAAGCTATAGCTAATTCTATTCACTTTAACAAATATATCTGAGGCATTCTACTAGGCAGTGTGGAACACAAAGATAAAGAAACAGACCCTGTCCTCACAAAGTGTATAAGAACTGAAAAAAAAAATAGATTCATATTTGACTAAATAATATGACAAGTAGAGCGCGGTCAGAACATGGGTAGCTATGACATGTTATAAGACCCTAGAGATGGAAGAGAGAGTAATATGTATATGGAACAGGGAACATTTCCTGGAGAAAGGGAATTGAGACATGAGAAAGTAGTAGCTGGCAGAGGATGGGGACAAGGATGGAGGGAGCCATGTAAGCAATGTAACAGCAGATACTCAAGGAACATAAAGAGCCTGGTATGGTCTTTACCATGGAAGTGTATTGGAAGCTTGGTGGTAAGAGTGGTGAGGAATAAGACTGAGAGGTATACTCATAACAGGGCGTGTAGATGTAAGGAATTTGGGTTTTGTTGCTTAGGAAATTGAGAGGCACTGGACTGAGGGGATAATGATTGCTTTAAGAAAATATTAATAATTCTGGCCATCTGGCCACTGTTTAAAGGTTAACTAGACTAGGAAGAGATAAGAGAAAGCAATTAGCTAGGAGGTGTCTCACACTGGGCGGGAAGCATCATGACCAGAAGTAGGGCAGCATTCATGGGACTGGAAAGGATGGAAGGCAGCAGGACATCCAGCACTCATGGGGGTCACCAGCTCTCTATGGTGACCTTTGCAGTCTCGCCCCCATTACTAGACTGGGCAACACACATCTTGGAGTGTGTTCTTACATATTCTTGTTTGTCCCTATTTCTATGTTTCTAATTGAGTTCTTAGGACTGGGTAAAGTGTGTTTTCTTTCTATACAGAAGGCTGCAATAATAGCTGTGATGGGCCGCTGTCATGATTTCATCAAGAACTATCAAGCAAAACGACACTGTCTGCATCATTAAACATTTCACATCACAGATGGAGACAGCCATGTTTCTTGATAAATGCCTTCTACGGTCTGTCTCAACACATAGTGAACAGAAATTTTGCCTCAACAACGTTCTATTTCTTTGGTGTTATTTCAGGTAGACCACGTACAGATGTTGGAAACTGGCTGATGTGCTGTTGGGCTGAGAGGGACCTCCCATGACCTTTCTGCCTCAGAAACGAAGACAAGGGAAGTTCCAAGCTCATCAGTTCCTGGGAAGGCTGCCAGAGGGACGCTGCAGTTGGCAAGGGGGCCAGGAGCGCACAGACGGTCCCTTGCTCAATATTTGCCATTTCCCCCTTAAGAAGGAGCATCTGTTGATTCTGTGAGTGGAGGGCCTCTGAGTTACTTCAAAACTAACAGAGCCAACTTTTTGACTTTGAAGTTTCTCATGGTCATTCACCAGTTTTAAGAAAAAAAAAAATTCTAAATTGCTTTCCATCCTCCAAACTCTTGCTTCCCGCATCCCTCCACCACATGCCATCAGGGTTATCTTAGCAAATCTCAGGAGGGGTCATGGGACGCTCTTCTGGGTGCCGCCCTGCTTCCCAACCCCCACCCCTCACCCAGCCCTGCTTTCCCAGGGTCCTGCATTCACCCTGCGCCCCTGACGCCCTGATATAACACCCAGCTCCATGTCTTCACATCTCATCTCCTGCTGGCTCCTTGTCTGGAGTGGGTGCTCTCCATAGTCTCCAACGAGAAGTTTCATGAGCAACTACTGAAGAGGCACTATATGTCAGTTACTGGGAAAGATACTGAACATCAAAAGATGAAGCAGACCCCCGAGCAAAGGAATTCAAAGGCAAGAGGTAGGAGGAGACACAGAAAGAGATAATGGCAAAAACAATATACAATAGTGAGGGGGCACAGGGTATTTGGGGGTGCAAAGAAATATGGTCTTTATTTCAGTCTACAGAGGCTAACAAAACGCTGCCTGAGCTACTGAAGCAAGGACAAAGTCTAGTTCAGTTTTCTCTTTTCACACACACACACACACACACACACACACACACACACATCTATGGGAATGAGAGTTGTTTAAATGATAGACTAGTTGCCATCAACAGTCCCCCCATTGAGAAGGAAGGATTCTAGCAACCTTGCCCTTTTGTGTAAGTGTAGCACCAAGAATGGAGGAAACAGGAAAACGGGAAGGTCAGGGAGACAAAGCGACTTCAGTGATCAGGAGTTGAGCCAGAGTGGGAAGCTGAGAGCAGGCAAAACACTCCACGCAGACTGAGTTGGAGGGAGTACATGCTTAGTTGCTCCATTATGTCCAGCTCTCTGCAACCCCATGGACTGTAGCCAGGCTCCTCTGTTCATGATATTTTCCAGGCAAGAATACTGGAGTGGGTTGCCATTTCCAACTCCAGGGGATCTTCCCGACCCAGGGATTGAACCCACATCTCCCATATCCAGCATTAGCAGGTGGATTCTTTACCACTAGCGCCACTTGGGCTGGAGGGAAAGGTTCAGAGGTTAGAGAGCGGCCACGGATGCCAGAGAGGCACGAAGAACAAGGCAGTTGGGAAAAGGAGATTTAAAAGAAGTTACACGAAAGGATTCCCTCTCGGATGTCCTTATGAGAGGCTCCATAAAGATTTAGATGCATTTTCAACTGTTTTGAATATTAAATTTATGTTTCTTTGAATGGCAGACTTTGCTTGCTAAGGGCCACCAGGCAGCTGGGCTCATTACGAACAACATCTGGGTACCTATGACCATACTCATCCAGTGATTAAGCTCCTCCTGACAGGGACTTCATTGTACTGATTTCAGTATGTTCTTATCTTCTCAAGCCTAGAAAATTTTTGCACATACCAGTCTCTCAAAAATAATGTGTTAATTCATGCTAATGCTTAACTGTATTTTGTTCTATGTTTTCAGTACTTTGATATTGGGGATATGTGAACTAACTTTAATTGCCTTATACTATCGGGTGTCCCACACATGTTTACTAAACTCATTTTAGATGACCTAGTAAATATTATTTTAGGCTTTTTGTGTCACTATGTTGTTATCATTGCAAAAAGCTATTTGTCTTAAAATCAGAATGGTTTGTATCTTTCATATGCCTTAAAGCACCTGATATGCTCTGAAGATACCCCATAAAGCAAAGAATGACAGGTTAAAATAACCCAGTGATTCAGAGCCAGTGTTGTTCATTTTGGAAGAAAGACATGTTTTCAAGCCAGAAGTGACTGGAACACCTGTTCTGTAGCCCTCCCAAAACATCTTAAATTTATATCTGTGTTCTCAAGTTTTTGGCTTATTGTAGACCACAGGGATTTGGAGGGGAAAAAAGTAAAAAAAAAGGAAGGGAATGAGAAATATAACAAGATTCACTACCGCCCATATCAACCAGATTCACTACCTCCCATATCAACAAGATTCACTGCCTCCCATATCAACCAAAGGCACATTTTCTGAACCTTTATGTTTAACAACCCACCAAAAATCTATACTGTGATAGAAGTAAATATATTAGATTATAGAGGTTATGAAATCCTGTCCAATTCCCAACCAGAATCGATCTCTTCAAGTGTCCTAGTTAAATTCTAATTAGCTCCAAGTGAAGGTTGTCATGACAACGAACCAGCAGATTTTAGTCAATGGAATTTATTTGATATAACCCAGAACCTAAGTGCTTTTTTCCCTTACATGTTGGTTAGCATATTGGAAAAAAGAAAACGTTATCTTTCACAACTTTCAAATGTTGTGAATTAATTTGTTTGCTAATTCACCTGCACTAAAAATATTAGTTTTTTCCTCATTTTGTGACATTCCTGTATATATAAATAACTACCAGAACTGGAACACATCTTAAAATGCCCTAATTAAAGTTGAAGAAACATTTTTAAGTTGGAGAATACAACAAACTCAAAAATACAGAGGAGAACAACAGGGCTGAAAGGAATTTATTCTTCTCAAGAACTGAGCCACTCATATATATCACTCTAGTCAGGACATGAAAGCAAGATGCAAAGCTTGACTCAGGCAAGGTGGGGATCTGGATTCTTCCCTCTGCCTGCCAAATGCGCCCACTTTCCCTGTTTATTCCTAACTTGTTTGTATTCATAGTCAACTCCTTGACTCAGGAGCTGGGCTTGTGGGGATGAGCTTGATACCGACATCTGACTCCCAGGGAAATTCTGATGACTCATTCTCACCAAGGAGCCATCTCTTCATCTCAGCGTTGTCTGAGTGAGAAGATCATGGTGAGGGACAAGGAGAAAACTAGTCCCCAGGGAAGGTTAGGTGACTAACCCTTGGTAGTAAAGCTGAGTGTCAGAGCACAACCGAGAATCCTTACTCTTATGGACGCTCAATCTCCTGTCTCAGACAGTGTCAGCTGGGAAGGCAAATGGGTTCAGGAGAAACACAATCACTCTCCTTTTATGAACTGTATAATAATGGATTCAAGGACAATTTCAGCAAAGAGTAGTCTGGGCTATGGCTCAGGGACAGCAACCTGTTAAGTTTGGTCTGTGACTAAAAAACTACGATCGAAGAGATTTATGAAAGAATTTTAAAAATGAGTTCTTGAAAACAGATGTGAAAGGGCAACAATGCACTTTAGGAAAAGAATTACATATATGAATCTCATGAGCTTGAGGTGTCTGATCTACCAGGAGATTTATTGTAAGGACTCAGGATAGTACTGGTATCATTAAACATCTGGTAATTTGTATCATAACATTTGAGGAGCTGTAAAGGACGTGCAGCTAAAATTCTAAGCTACCAGTTCTACGATAAATGTAGGCACAGGGCACAGCTGATGCAAACTCTGGAAAGTTGTTTCTTTGCAAAGACGAACTGTTCTTGCCTGATAATCCTCTTACAGCTGGACTGGTGGTTTCACAGCAATGAAAACTGCACTCATTCACTCCGTCAGTAAACTTAGACTGAAAAACACCCACATGTGTATCCCGAAGATCAGGAGAGCTGCTAGATTTTGCACTTTCCCATAATTGGTGTGAAGATGAGGTAAACAAGAAAACCAAGAGAGCCCATGCCAATAATACTCTTTAAGAATTAAAAATGTTTTCTTATTGATAACCAATTAAATATCAAACTAGCAAAAAGTGATTTAAAAAAAAGATTAAGCAGTTCAAAAATAAACGAAAGATCCTAAAAGCTAACGGAGAAGTAAAACATATAGGGGGCCCAAGTGGCTGGGAATTCAAACAGAAAAGCAGCAGAGGGAGGTCCGAGAATTAGAGCTGTGCTGCCGGCATTGGGGGTGACCAGTCCTTACCCAGAGTCAGAGAGGGGCCTCCAGGAAGGGAAAGAAGAGTTGAGACATAGGCATTTATGCTTGGGTAAGAAAATTTATGGATGAACATGACAGATCTCATGTAATGATCAGAGAGAAGCTAAGAAAAAAGACAGATAGAGGAAAAATCAAACCCTCTACAGGAAAGGAAAATAACCACAGTACCCTCTAAATGGTGAACGCCGTTTAGAGGGTTATAATAATGTAAACACTGAATGCTGGCTTAATTAAATTCTGTGATATAACCATATTTAGAAAGGAAGGGGAAAAGAACAGTTGAGAAGTAGCAGGGATTCAAGTCCTTACACATCATAGTAAAATCAATAGATACTATGTGAAATTGATACATCAAGGGAGAAAACTAATTATTTTGGGCTCTCATTAGCATTATTCATCAGCTTTTCTGGCTTTCCTCTTGCCAAGTTGGTAGCAGAATTGTTGGCGTGGCTTGTGACTTATTCATCCAAAGACACGTGAGAGGAAGTGACATGATGGAAACGTGCAGAGCCAGGCTATGATGTGTTCCCTTCCTTCGCCACAGCCCAGTGCCTGGAGATGCTCCAGAGAATGGACATTCTGCCAGCCTGGAGGCTGGTGTCAGGAGCCACAGAGCCCAGTGGACTCACTTGGATTTGAAGTTGTGTTGGTTGCCTTGTTTTTTGCAACTGATTCTGCAAATTATTTATAGACTTGGAACTAAATAACAAAAGGAACAACTGAAAGAGTTGCAAGTGGACTGCTTGCAGGACTGCAGGTTGTGGACAGGTTGGGCAGGAGACCGTCCCTTTTCATTTTAAACCTTGTCCATCTATTTGATTTTTTTTTTCCAAAAAATTTGCTGCAGTAACTAGGGAACATATAGCTCAAGGAACTGGATGAATGTACAAATGGAACTTCAAAGAGCAAGTGGTTAGGGGAGCACACACATTCTCTGCTTCTCTCATTTTTCCATAGAGGATGAGGAACTTCCACTCCACTCCTGAGAAGGAAGGACACTTGGCGCTTCTTTCAGACCTAGCCAGAAGAGCAGAGTCACTTATCTGAGTGATGAGTCTGAGAAAAGCAAGAGTGTGCTAGGCTCAGCCCCATCAAGGTGATCTTTGCTTACATTTTTGGAGGTACCCTGCCTATAGGACTATTATCCTCTGCTTCTCCATGTGGTCAGCCTTCTGGGGCAGGAGGGGAGTGGTGGAAATCCTATGGTCACAAAAGTATGCTAGATAATTGTGTGACTAGGTGGGCAAGTCTGGCTAATTCAGGGGTGGAATGGCAATAAGCTTATTTGGCCACAGATCCAATGCCATGTTTGCTAATCAGTTTTATCAGCAACGGTGCTGATGTTTTGACATCTCCATACACAGTATCTGTTTCCTGTGTTGCATTTCTCAGTGGGTTTAGAACACATAAGGAATAGAAGAGAAATAAGCCTTTCCTCCAAAACATGAACATCAGTCATCACAAAACCACTCAACTCTGTAATTAGATGAATAACACACCATAACGTTAATATAATATGCCTTTTTTTCTGGTTAGAAAAATACAGATGTGCAGAAAAAGTCTGAAAGATATATGCTTATCTATATTTTCCCATTTTTCTTCACATATTATTTGCATAATAAAAATGCTCAAATATTAGACTGAGAGTGAAAAATTAAAAGTAACACTATAAAGCTACAGAGCATTGTTTCTTAGGAGCCACAGTGATATCTGAATAACTTCTCTAGGTGGGCTCTGTTTTCATTACCATCTGATTCTTAGTATTAGAAGAGCTTTGAAGAAAACATTACTTATGTGTCCAAAAGTTGGGTCATATTTGGTTCTCTAAGTAGAGAAAGTAAAGGCCAGAAGAACCACATGATCTATATTTAGTTACGTAAATAACGTTTAGTTATCTACGTTTAGTTCTGCCCTGACAAAGTAAAAAATAATTTAAATGATTATGGATAATGGCATCCATCCTGCAATATAATTTTCCATTAACTTACTTCCATTTCTGCATCAACTGGTTGCTCTTCTGTTTCCTCTACTTCACGTAAATTTTCATTTGAAGTAACTTTAGGAGTTGTTGGCAATGATATTTCAGCAATTTGTGCAAGATTAGATAGTTTCTCATGAACTGAAATAACTCTAAAAATAACAAATACATATGCATTTTATTTGAAAAGTTAAGAAAGGCATTCATTTATTCCCAGAACCAATAATCTGTGTAAAATAAATCCTTAGTTATTTAACACTTAGATTTCTGGCAACCCCCCCGCCAAACATCATTCATTCAATTATTCCTTCATTCAAGAGACATGAGCCAAGAGACGTGATTCTCATCTGTATAATGTTTATGATTTAGTTATACACCCAGTCAGATTTATAAACTGACAAAGGCATAATAGAGATTCCCTGGAGGAGGAAATGGCAACCACTCCAGTATTCTTGCCTGGAAAATTCCATGGACAGAGGAACCTGGCGGGCTACAGTCCATGGGGTTGCAAGGAGATGGATATGACTAAGCATAGCAGCACAAGCACAGAGGCATGGTGAGAAAAGAAATGTAGACGGCCAAAATGATGCTTAAGATGAAAATAAAGGAAATAAATATCTACATGGGCAAAGAAACACCAGGTAGTGACAAAAGATCCACTCTGCTTAAACTCAGTACCATCTCTGACTGGCCGGCTGGTCTGAAGCCAAGGATTAGGACCCTTTAGCCACGGCTCTAAGAGACCAATCAAGGAGCCCGCACAGTGACGAGCACTGTGTGGGGAGGCAGGGTTCGGGAGAAGAGTCAAGAACGAAGGAAGGGCAAAAGCCAAGGGTCAGGGCAGAGGACAAAGTGGTAACTACACTGAGGCCAGAAAGCTTCTGGAGTCACTGTCCAGTGACTTGTGGAGGTGCGAAGGCAGGGGTTAAGTAGTCAGTGAGGTCAGAAGCTGGGAAAGCACTGAAACAGTGAAAGGAAGCAAACAGCCACCTGCAGGGCTCCCAGGGACTCGAGGATGCAGGCGTGCAGAGAACAGGTGCGTGCATAAATGTGCACGGATCCACAGGTCTCCATCCAGGGATGGAGGGGAATTTTCATGTAAAAGAAGTAGATGATGCAAAAAACCAAAATGACATCAGGAACAAATGCAGCAACATCATTTCTCCAGTTTTCCACCGCATCCTCTTACTTTGCCTTCTAAAGGATGGTTAACGAGAGCAGCTCCCTATAGATTGCCCTTATCTTGACCCTCATAGGAACACAAGGAACTCCACCCTGGGTGAGAGAAATAGTCTATTTTTACTGTATGGATCTGATGAACACTTGTCAGGTACCTTCCCCGATAAGAGCCTGAGTGACAGGGGCGTGTCCCTAACTTTAGTCACCCTACTGTTGATCATAAACACACCAAAATCAAGAGTGTTTTGTAGTTAAAAAAAAGAAAGAATCCTGTCAGTTTCATTACATTCTGTTCTGCAGAAATTGTAATCTTTTTCATCAAGCGGTTCTGAAAAATAAATCCTGCTCCATTTTGGATGTACGAGGTAAGAGCAGAATTGGGCATGACAGTGACTGAACAACAACAAAGGCAGAAGCATGATTTCCCCACGTTGTGGCTTAGTGGTGCCAGTATAGTCTGATGTCTAAGATTTTCTGCCATTTCACTGAAAAACCTAAAGCAGGCAAAGAAAGTTGACTGAATAATTCAAAGTATGACAGCTCTTAAAACATCTCTTGTTTTATTCCCTTTCATGGTGAGGCCAGGAAGTCCTTCCAAATGGAAATCAGGGAGCAGGGACCAGACTCTCCTCAGAAGGACGGAGAAGCACCAAGTCTCTGTTCACTGAGCACTTAGTAGGTGTCGAACAGGGGAAAGAGCTGAGGCCCACAGGTGCAGGAGGCTGTGAAGAGACTTGACATTTGCCCGGTGCTTTTGGTTTTGCAAAGTATATGCATATATTATACATGCATGCAACGCATATGCATATACTGTCTGTCTTGATCCCAACAATAACTCCCAAAGGTAGGCAAAGTATTATATCCATCTCAGAAATGAGGAAATGGAATGGGTTAGGATTAGGGTCACAAGAGTAACAAATAGTGGAATCACAACTAAATTAACTAAGCAAAGAAAAACACTGAAAACAAACAAGGAATTGAATAGGGTGAAATCAGAAGACAGAACCCAGGCATGAGCGAAAGTGAAGAGTCTCCATTCACTGTTGGATGAAGAGGTAGGTAAACAGTGTGGTTGATGCAGAGACTTTTGATGGGGGAACAGATAGGATTGGCCAACATATAGGACTGGGCAGAGAGGGAAGGATGAGGCCAGGATGGGGATGGAGTTTGGGCTTAATTACAACTTAATACAGAGTCACATTAAGTTATTTTTAAAACACGCCCTAAACTACAGGCAAAATATAGTACAGACAATATCTTTGTACTCTCTGTGATCTGTTTATGAAGTACTAGGAACTGTTACTCCAATAATTTGCTGTGCTGAGTTGCTCAGTCGTGTCTGACTCTCTGGGACCCCATGGACTGCAGCCCGCCAGGCTCCTCTGTCCATGGGGATTCTCCAGGCTAGGATACTAGAGTGGGCTGCCATGCCCTCCTCCAGGGGATCTTCCCAACCCAGGGATCAAACCCAGGTCTCCCACATTGCAGGTGAATTCTTTACCTTCTGAGCCATCAATACTAGGACAATACTCCAACAAAATATCCAAAATACTCCGGGTCCTATTATTATCCCTATTTTATTGATAAGGAGACTGAGGCACACAGAGGTTAAGTAGCTTGGTCAAGGATACTGGGATAGGGAAGGCCACTGGCATGTGGACCAAACCAGACTGAAGTCAGAGCTCAAGCTCTTAACCACTGCAATATCATACTTCTCTAAGTAAAAGGAAGATTCTTCTAAAAATGTCTTCCAAAAGTTCTCCTGGATTTACCTTGTATATTACTGAGACAGCCAACCTTATGAAAACATCAGCAAAGAGGGTTAGAATTGCAGATAATCCATCTTTACTTGCCTTTTTAGTGGAACCCAGAAAGAGCCTACATACACATTGTTGCAAGCAGTAGATGTAACATCAGAAATATTCAGAGGCTTCATATTATATGCATACAACAATAAAACCTGTAAGAAAATGAAAAAACATCTCAAATGTGACATCAAAATTACACTCCACCTCAAAAACTACAGCATTGGTTCTCAAAACAATTTCATTATACTTTAAAAGGTTTTTCTTTGAAAGAGAAAAAATGAGGCTTTTCCCCCCAATTCACTTTAAAGAGAAATGATATGAATAAGAATTGTGCAAAGGTTATGAGATGAAAATAAATGCTAGTTGGAACTAAGATTATATTATTTTTGAAGACTGACACTTCTTCCTGCAGTTAAGTTTGAATTTTAGCCTTTGAAGGTCCTCTGCAACAAGTTCTAATGTATACCTGGTGAATATCCAACTTGGTTTCCTGCTCCTTCTCAATACGCCCCTTCCCCATCGGTGGTTTTGACTACTTTTGTGCACTCAGGTGAGTTCTTTCTTATTCTCTTTATGCATGCAATCCACACACAACTTTTCAGCCCCCACCTCTAAGATGAAACTTCACCTGATGACTCATGCTTTAGTAATTTACCTAATGTTTGAATTCTTGACAGTTCTTAGTCAGTCCTACACTCTATGGCACCTCTTTATAATGAATTCACAGAATTTGAGATGCAGAGAAACTCAGAGGTGGTCCGCTCTAAGTCCTTCATTTTAGATGTAAGAAAGCTGCGCCCCAGAGTTGATGATCAAAATTGACTAATTAAGTGCATTCATTTATCTCTGGTTCCTCTCAAGTCAAACTAAAGTGAGAGTAAAGGGATGTGGGGAACTCCCTGGCAGTCCAGTGGTTAGAATTCTGCACTTCTACCCCAGGTGGCATAGGTTCGATCCCTATGAGGGGTCAGGAAGCTAAGATCCTGCAGTCTCCCAATATGAATTAGAATAAAAAAATTTCTTAAAGGCATAAATTCACAAAGACAGGAACAAAAGAGAAAATGAAGTAGACGAGAGACGGAAGCAACGCCGTGAAAGCACCTGGAAGAGCATAGCTGAGTCAGCAGAGAGGAAAGGCGGCATCCCACCTGGCCTCAGCGTGGCTGCCAAGGACAAGCATGACCAAGAGCCTCAACAGCCTCAGGAATAACCTCCCTCCCATCCCTGCTCTGAGCCCTTGCAACCAGGAGACTCCCCTCCTCCTTCTCTGCCTCTTCTACGCCCGCCGAACTTCTTTCACTTCTCTCTCTGTTGAGGTTAAATCAAAGAAGATCTATGAGATGCAGACATAGAAAACACAGTTGTGGACACAGTGAGGGAAGGAGAGGTGGGGAACTCAGAGTAGCACTGAAACATACAAATTACCATATGTAAAAAAGACAGCCAGGAGGAATTTGCTCTGTGATTCAGGGAGCTCAAACCAGGCTCTCTGTGACAGCCTGGAGGGGTGGAGCGGGGTGGGAGGGAGGTTCAAGAGTGGGGAGACACATGTATACTTATGGCTGATTCATGTTGCTGTGTGGCAGAAACCAACAAAATACTGTAAATCAATTATCCTCCAATAAAAATTTTAGAAAAAGAAGATCTATTCTTAGGAAGGACGTCAGTCCAGGAATGAAATGCTGAATTGAAAACACTGGTAAGTGAAAGTCCGTATTCTGAACAAGAAGCATCCCTTTATCCCACTCTAGCCCCTACCCAGGATGTAGAAAACCAAGCAGGAATCTAAAAGATCCTCTTGGGAAAAATTTACCAGATGAAGAGAAGAGAACTTCAGATACTAACTTCAGGACCCTCCAATGAAACTGCTAGCTCAGTTACACTGCAGTGAGGCCAAAAGTCCATAAGCCTGACTAAATATGATTCTCATTTTCTCAAGCATGAGTGAACAGCCAAGGGTCACCAGACATGAAATGAACTAATGTAAGAAATGTAAGAAAGGGACTTGGAGAATCAGACACAGCACAGAGAGCAGAAGAAAATGTCAATGAAACCATAATTAATATCCTCAGACAGAAAAAGGCCAATGCTGCATCTACAAAATAAGAACACAATGCCATTAAAATGGAACAGAGAATAAGTACTCTTAAATTTTAAAGAAAATATGATCATAACAACTAATCAATAAAAGATTACTGAAATACAAAGTTAAATATATCTCCCCCCAAATAAACCTAAATTTAAAAACATAAATGGCCGGGAGCGAGGGAAGATGAGAAAAGTAAACCCTCAATCTAATAGGTTCAATATCTGAAAAACAGAAATTCCAAAAAGTGCAGAGATCATTAGAGGGAGCAAATTATCTAAGAAACAAATCTACATGAACTGAAGGATAAACGTCATATACTGAAAGAGGCACCCTACGGATCCAGAACAATACCCACACCAAGGTGCACCATGCAACGTTACAACACGGGACAGAGGGAGATCCCCAGAGTTTGCAGAGGAAAGACATCACAGATAAACAACTTGGAATCAGAATGGGAACAGAACTCTGAACAGCAAAGCAGAATTCCCAGAGACAATGAGAAGTGAGTGCCTCCTACATTTTGAGGGAAAATAGTTTTCAACCTAGAATTCTATGCCGAGACAACAGTGAATTAAGTATTAAAATGATGACCTTTTGTCAGGTATATAAGGTCTCTTTACTTCCTATGTCGGTGCAGGAATAATGTCAATCCATCGCCACCTTAGTAATCATCTCAGAGGACTGAAATCATGGAATTGTTCCTGACCAAAGCTGAATGGAACGTACTAGCAAGTAATTAACATAGCTCTGTTTTGGGGTGTGAAACACACCCAGGAGGCTGCCTATGCCAGCTTACCAGCGTTTTTTTGTTTTTGTTTTTGTTTTGTAGAAAATACACATGTTGATTACTTATATCTGGAGTCTACTGTTATCATCACTTCTCTCATTGAGTCTGGCCCCACAGTCTGGCTTTGACTACATGATCAGAGACTTATGAAAGATTCCTCCCAACTAAGACAGCAGCTTTCTTGAAGCCAACATTATCTCACCATATTTCAGAGGTTCATGACCCATAGATAGCGTGTGTCCCGAGTAACTGAGAGAGGAACCAAGCAGCTCCTCCAGGGTACCTGAGTCTCTCTAATGGTCATCTGTGCTTTCTTCATCCTGCCATGCTTTATTCTTTACTAGAGCCTTCCATGGATGCAATTTGTGGAGTCTGGTGAGCTCTGAATTACCAGAACCTCCAGCACACTCTTTCTCGGGAAGATGGAAGATGTGTTCCTTTAATACAAGAGAGCAAGCCAAGACAGAGAGGAACATGGGAGTGAGGGAATCCAACTCAGAGAGGAAGGAATTATTAGGAGGATGGAGAATGGGCTCTGAAGATGATATCTGAGCCATGAAAGTAATTGGTCCAGTTTGAACCATGTCTCTGAAGGAAAGAAAAAAGGAACTAAGAGACAAGCTGATGAGTTTGTCCACATGGAGAAGGACTGTATAGTTATCTGAAACCTTAGGAAGAATAAGAGATTCTAAAATCCAGAGAATACTAAGTGAAACAAAAGTGGGGCAGTTCCCCCCCCCCACCCCCCACAGGAAGGAAGACAAGAAAGGAAATAGTACCTTATTTGGCTCAGCAGTGAGTGATATTTACATGGTCATAATCTAAACACTGACTATGGTTTAAGAATTGTGACAGGACTCAGTTAGGAGAATGTGCAGAGAAGAGCGTGTAAGGCTGATCACTTGAGAAATCATCACCTGGGCACATAATTTAGTTAAACAGGAGAAAGAAAAACAACCAAACAAAAACAGTTGAAAGAGTTTGAGGCAATTACATCTAAGCAGAGAGATTCAGGGAGAAGGAGAGCTAGACAGAGAATTGTTCCTTTTTACTCATTAAAAATATTTGACTTTTCAAACTTTGGAAAATTTGACGAAACGTTTCTGGAAGGAAAATGAAATGAATCCCAGAGAGATGAGCTCAAGATCTCACAGTGCTTCATGGTGTTTGCTCTTAGTCTGTGTTTGCTAACCTTGACTCCCAGGCTAGCATATAAAATCTCTGAGGACGGGAGTCACACCTTGTACTTTTTTAGCAGTGCTTACAGCATCTGATGCATTTTTTCCTTTTAACTTTTTATCATATATTGGAGTGTAGCTGCAGAACAATGGAGTGACAGTTCCAGACGCACAGCAAGCAGCTCAGCCACATACCTGGTACGTGTTAGCATCTTTATACTTCTGAAACTTCCATTAATCTGCTAAGAACTAATCAAATTCCAAATTTGAAATCAAATTTCAAAAGTTGAACATTTTAAATAGAAATCATGCTTTATATTTAACTCCTGATTATGAAAATGACGCTCTCCCTCCTAAAACTGATATTTGTCAATGGTTTTGCAACACAATTTAAAGCCTTCCTTAACTGAACTTAACTGAAGACTGGCATAGATGATTGGATTCAAAGTATAAAAGCCTGAAGTCAAAATTAACTTGAATAAAATAGGGCTGTAATTAAATAATAAAGCACTAAACTCACAGAGTTGTTGTGAGCCTGAGCTCTGGAGCCAGGGTGCCTGGGTTTGCCTCCACCACTTACTGGCTGTGTGATCTTGGGAAAATTATTACAACATTATGCCTCTGTGTTCTCATTTGTAAAGCAGAAGATATGGTACTCTTCATCCAATGGATCAATGTGAGGACTGAGTAAATGTGAATTACTTTAATCAGTATTTAGAGCATTATTGTTGTCATTTGTAGCCCCATGATCATCCCTGGCTCCTTACCTGATCTGGATACCTCACTTTCCATATTCTCTTAGATCTGCTGCTAATCCCAAACCAGCTTCCCATCTGATCCCCCAGCCTGTCCTCATCTAATCCACTTAGTTTTCAGTTGAGAATAGTGCTTAGTTCTATTCCCAACTTGTCTTTACCCTCAGGGATAAGTTATATCACCTTGCATACCCAGGACTAGATTTTTCAGGAGGTAATACACCCATGAAAAATTTTCCAATGCTTCCTTATTCACTTCTGAAAAGACGTTTTCAATGAAAAAAAAAAAAGTGATGTGATTTTTTTTACAAACACTGAGGAATATTTAAAATTGTCTTGTGCA